GAGACGCGCGGGGCCCCCGGGGGGGGGGGGGGGGGGGGGGGGGGTGCGAACCACGGGACCGGGGCAGGAGGGGGCGCCGGGGGAGGGGGAGGAGGAGGAGGGAGATACAGAGGGCAGGCGGTCGGGCAGGTACTGTGATTACCCCTGTGTTTGATGCTGTGCCGCCGCGTGCAAACTGCTTCTTGTTCTTGGTATTGCATTGGTTAGCATCAAGCATGTTGTTTTTGTATGCTAGACAGGGTTTGGCGAGAAACACATGCTACCCTTGGCTGCCGCAGCCGTTTCTTCTGCCTTGTCCTCCTTGCTGTCTTCCCTGTAAACATCTTCTTCCGTCACCGAAGGTTCAGAAGTTCCATCTCTTTTCGTCACATGAAAACTGTGTTAAGAAAGGAGCGGGTGTCTGATGTGTTTTTAAGCGCAACGTTCGTCCCGTGGACGCGTGCTCTCATGTTCGTAAGTAGCGTGCCGTTCTCACAGCAATACTGGCGAAAACAGCCCGTGACCAGAAGTAATAAAATCGATGGTTATGCTGCACACCAGTCCTAGTTAGTAGGTCGACGAGGAGGCGGGCCATTGGCATGCCGATGCCGCTCCCACTCTCGCGACGACGATGCTTATATGCGGGAACTTCGACCAGCTGAAAAACACGCGACATGCAAGGAACTTTCCGACTGTTGTTGTTGTTGTTGTCGTTGTTGTTGTCATCGTCGTTGCAACGGCGGCCACTCTTGCCAATCCCCGCCTTCGTCATATCGTACATAGGGCGCGAGAGGCACGCGAGAAGAAGACCAACGTCTCTCACGACATTCATTCTCCTCCGTGAGAACAACAAGCGGAAAAAGTAAGAGTCGTTCTCCGCCATCACCACCACCACCGTGTTGGGGGCATGAATCGAAGGTGGCGTTCTTCCCACAAGCAGAACGTCCTTCTCACGCCCCCTCCGTTTTTCTCACCGTATTTCCAGGGCGGATCCAAGGCGTCCTCGAAGAAAAAGAAGAAGAATCGCGGCTACTACGACAGCAACATTCGGAGCAAGTACAACGGGATGAGCAACGGCGGCGGAGGCGGAGGCGGAGGTGGAGGCGGAAACGGTTTCGGGGGGGCCAAGGTGCGCCGCAAAATTATGTATTTTTTTCAAGTGGGCTTCCTTCCACCACCTGGGCACATGGGGTGCATGCGCCTACCGTAGGAAGTGGAACTTCGGGTGCCCTTCCTCCACGAAACACGTTGTTAAAGCTATGCGTGCAATTTCACAAGTTTCATGAAGGACATGTCGCATATGGGTTTTGGTCCACAAGAAGCAAGCGGTTCTGGAAAGAGTTGACATTAACCTCTCGAAACCGTACACACAGACATGCAACACACGCCTCTTTTAAGACTCTTGACCTACCTACCCCTTGCCTTCCTCCTCCTCATGCCCCGCCACTTCTGACCAACCGCCCCGCACACAAGGGGCACAGGATCACCTCTCGGAGCAGCTTTTCGTTGATGCAAGCCGCCGGGGGGGGCGGGGGGGCGATGGGTAGCAATATCGGTTATGGCGGCAACGGCGGGGCAGGCGGCGGCAATGGAGTCCCCGGGGGCATGGCGGCCCAGGCGCCGGAGCGGGCGAGAGTCGGGAAAAACACCTCGCGGTATCGCCAATTGCGCTGACACCATAACAGTGGGGATGTACATGTAAAAAATAACTATTTTTATTACTACAACGTGTCGTCACGTGGTGGGATTCTAGGTCCATGCCGTGTATCGTGTTCATATTTTGTGCAGTTATCATGCTTTGTTCGAGGCGTCACGGGGAGGGCACGTGCGAACGCCGCCAACTTGTGATGGAAAAGAGTCTTCGGTGATGGTTTCATCTTGTCGTGTGCGTCTACGCCACACAGGTGTGCAAAAATGTAGGTCAGCGAGATCTCTTTTGTCGAGGGGAAACTTGGGGGCGGGGGGGGGGGGGGGGGGGAAATTACCCCCAAACCCAATTTTTTTGGGTCTTAATTTTTTAAAAGGAAAAAGAATTTTTCCTTTAAACACCGGGGGTGGGGGGGAAAAAAGGTTGGGGTTTTTTAAAGGGGGGGGGCTTTTTCCCCGGAAAAAAAAAAAATAAAAAGTTTGTGGAGGGGCCCCTTTATTTTTCCAAAAATGGCCCCAAAAAAAAGGGGGGCAATCAAAAAAAAAACGTTTTATGTTTTAACCGGGGAGTAAAAAAAAAGGACCCTAACCCCGGGGGGGGCCGGGCCCCCTTGAAGGGTTTGTCCACCCCCCCTTTT